GGGAAAGAGAAATCACTCTCCAAGGGAGACGGCCACACTGCAATCCTCTCCCCTCCATTCTCCTGTTGGGATGTTGGGCATGTATGGAAATGCACCCAGTGTGTTTCTCAAGCTTCTGAGTGCAGGACTCAAACTGGTGTTGACCATGTGGGATCCAGGGTCACCACGCCACCTTCTGGCCCTCTTTTTGTGTGTGGTTGAAACCACAGATTTTTACTGCCCTTTATAAATGGGGGGGACATAGTGACCACAGTGAGTGATGCCCATTCCCAGAGCCTGTTAGGGGCTCCAGCTGAAAGGACAGACTGCTGAATCATACAGTCCTCCTCAAACAGCCATCTCTGGAAGGCCCAATAGTACTGAACCATTGAGCCTGACCAGGAAGTGCCTGTTTGCCACATGACACTGGTTCCTTTCCAGGGCAAGCTGAATACAGCTGCTCTTTGCACCTGCCTTAGAGACTGACTGGTTCAGAACATGACTCACATAGGGACCTATGTGATCAAAGGCGACAAGACAGGAAGGGGTGGGAATGATCTGAAGCAATTTGAGGGGCTTCCTAGAGGAGAAGAATTATATTTGGGAAGGGACTAGAACTAGCTTTTCCCAAAATGAGTTTAGAATACCACATTTGAAACAATACTAACGTTTACAAAATGTTCCATCATCAGGTGCAGTTCAGTGACGGGTCGATAGAATACTGCTTAGGTGAAGGCCAAGTCCACGTGGTACTGTGGTTCAAATTCTCATCCAGTAAGCATGAAACACAATGCAAGAGTGCCCAAGATCCACTGGGCTGGGGGACTGGAGAAGGGATTGTACTATAGCCAGACCCTTGGAGGGTGCTCCACTCTCTGTCTATATCTCTTGTGTATATACTCTATCATGAATACATTTAAAAATTTAATTTCATTATCAAATAATTTTGGGAAACGTCTTAAGACCACTTCAGGGCCAGTTGGTGGTATAGTTGTTAAGGCAGCTGGATGTCACATAACCAACTTCAATTAGAGTCCCAGACCTGTGGTTTGAGAAATGTGTCAGGCATGTGTGCGTGTGTGCCCAAAATCCCAAGAGGAGAATGGAGGAGAGGGGACTGCAGTGTGGCCATGCCTGCTGGATGATGATTTTTCACTTTCCCTCTCTGTCTCTGGTGAACATATGCCCTATAGAAAAATTACAAAATAAATAAAGACAACTTTTTTTTTACAATATTTATTTATTTGTTTGTTTAAATTTTTTCCAAATTTGACCAGAGAGTGACAGAGTGAGAGAGAGAAAAGTGAGAAAGCAAGCTGCCAGGTCCAGGACTTAAAACCCAGGTGACTATATAGGAGTCTAGCACCCATAACCACCATGCCACCTGCTGGCCCTGAAGACAACTTTACTCTTAGGTTTTTTGATATGTTACCATGAGACTCACGTTTCATGGAACATGTTCAGAAAAAAGATATTACTTAGGGGATGTGTAAATCTGGCCTCCATGGAATCTTGGCACTATTCCCATTTTCCAGTCAGACTTCCCAGCAAAGTGTATCACAGAAGGGCTTTGGGACTTTATGGGGTCCCTTTTCTACAATCAGTCCTACTCTCAGTAATTCATCAAAGAAATTCCTTGTTTTCTCTCAGACTACATGCCGCATGTCTCATTCCAAATGGTCCACTGACTCCTGTTAATTCTTTGGTTTGTTTTGCAGAAGGTTTTGGAACTGAACTGAATTCTTAGCCCTTCAAGCTTTGTTTATGCTCTAAGTTGCTGGTCCCCTGCCTCTCAAAAGAGCTGTCTTTTTATAATTAGGTTTTTGCCATAGGGCGTGTATATTCATAGGGGGAAGGTGAGAAATTGCCCTCCCCTCCACCCAGGGTAAGACAAAAGCTGTCATGCAGACCCATCTCCGTTCTCCTCTCAGGGTTTTGGACACACACATGTGTGTGCCTGCATAATTTTCCAGCTTGTAGATCTGGGACTTGAACCATGGTCAACCATATGAGTATCCAGCGCCCCAACCACCATGCCACCTGCTGGCCCCACCTGTTTTATTTGGCCCTAGAGTGTGTGTGCTCACCAGGGAGAGGGAGACAACACCCCCCAATGGAGTGTGGTCACACTACAGTCCCTTATTCTCCGTCATTCTATCAGGATATAAGGCATGCTTGCACGTGTCTCGTGTTTTTCAAGCTGCCAGGATTGGGATTTGAATTGTGC